TAAAAAGGTAAAATAAAAAAAGAACAAGTGAAGATGTTCAGTAACTAGCAGCAGACACAAGTGTGAAGTGCAAATATACCCCTTTTGTTTTGCTACAAATTTACTTCTTTTCTTTCCTCCTGGTCTCCCAATTATCGCAGTACCACCTGAGACATCAATGTCTAAGACAAATATCTAATAGCATAGCAGTGGAGATTAGGAAAACTGAAATGCATCTGTAGCGATTTTTTTTTAAAGTCATTACTGATGCCTGGTTCCTCTTAAGGATATTTACATGAAATGTCATAAACGAGCTGCTATTTGATCTACTTTACTGCCGTTGCTGCAGACACCCTTAAAGCAATAGTATGTGGAAGTTGCTGCCTTTGTTGCTAAAATCACAATATTTGAAGGTTAATTTTGATGGGGCCTGGTAGTGACCTTGCAGTCTCACCTCAGTAAGGGGCAGCATGTAGCTGTGCTGCCTCAGGAGTGGAACAAGGGTCATACTGATATCTACCACTTGGTCCTTGGTTCTTCCTTGCTCCACTGCCAGTTACTTCCCTGGCCCATGTTCCACCCTCTCCACACTGGCTCTGCTGCTCCATGCTTGCAGGTTAGCACGTTGGGTTAACCTAGCCTTGCAAAGCCTACTCCTGCTTCAGTGAGTTTTTTTTGCTTCATCCATATCCTTCCTTCCAACCTCTACATCAGTGGTTCCCAAAGTTTTCAGCATCACACCCCCCCTTTTGATTTTTGAGAAACCCTTATGCCCCCCCATATCTTCTTTACCATCATCAAACTCCCCCTTAACAAAAAATTCAATTTGTAATTTAAAATTAAAAATAAACACAAACACTTGGTATAAAATTATTTAAAACTAAAAATATGCACAAACAGTTTTTCTTGACACAAAAATTTAATAAAAATGTAATTTAACATAAGAAATAGCAGAAACAAATTGAATTTAATGAGAAGGATGATGCTGCATTTTCTTCACAAGTTGGGAAATCCTAGGTTTGAAAGATGAAAGTACGCAATGCAAATAGTTTTCGACATCCAGTCGATTTCTTTGTTTTGTTGTTAATGTGACTAAACTTGAAAAGCTTTTTTTCACAGAGGTATGTTGATAAAAATGGAAGAAGAAGAATACGTAGCGCTTCTTCTGCTACTTTTGAATACATTGGGAAATATTTTATCCAGAATTCCTCCAAGCTTGTGTTTTCGAAATTATCTTTTGCACTTGAATCATATTTTATTTTGAGTGCTTGTTCTTGCAATCCTTCTGGCAATTAATCAATATCAATGTTGAATGGATTGCATACTAATTTATGAATGGGGTTGCCAAAAAAGTTGTCTGGAAAATAGGGGATGAATTCGTCAGCAAGGCAGTCCAGGTGAAACACAGTTTTGTTCTTCACATCCTCTTTACAAACTTCTTGGAAACCTTTATTTTCAGAGAGTGATGAAAATGTCAGAAAAAACGAAAAGTTAGGCATCTGAACATGTGTTTGATGTTTCCAAAGCTGGACTTTTTCTGTAAATGCTTTGATGGCATCATGGTGAACTATAATGTTTGCAGCGTTGTTTTCTTGCAGCTTCAAATTGAGGTTGTTCAAAGATTCAGAAATGTCCACAAGGTACACCAGTGAAAGTTGAAACATTTGGTCCGTAAATGCATAATGTAACTCTTCTTTCTTCTGTTGCTTGTGGAAAATTTCCACTTCATCTTTCAGTATGAATAATCTCGAAAGCATGTTATCTTTGGACAGCCATTGTACCTCTGTGTGAAGCAAAAGAGTTTTATGATCCGCTCTCAAATTCGTGGAAACAGCATCAAAAAGTTTCGTATTTAAAGCACTGTTCTTCACAAAATTGACAACTTTGATGGCCAAATTCAATGAGTCACGTAGATCATCTGGAAGGGTTTTAGCAGCCAACGCTTGTCTGTGTAATGATGCAGTGAGTTGTGGTTATGGCTGGATTTTTTTCTTTCACTGTCACAAATCCAGAGTGAGAGCCAAGCATTGCTGGAGCACAGTCTGTGCATACACCAACCAGTTTTCCCCATGAAAGTCTATTTTCTTCAAAAAAGTCAGAAATCGTTTTCATAATATCAGAAGCCTTTGATGTGGTCATCAATTCCTTCAGAAAAAAAAAAGTTCTTCTTTTACAGTTCCATTGTTAATCAAACATAGGCAAGCAACTGACAACATTGCGCTACATCAGTGGTATTGTCGCACTGAATTGTGAAAAAAGGAGAAGCCAACACTGCCTCTACAACTTGAAGTTTAAGATCTTTCTCCAGCTCATCGATGCAACGTTTCATGGAATTGTCAGAAAGCAAAATTTCTGATAGTTTTTTCTTGTTTTCGACACCAAGCACAATATCAGCTGCTTTCAACAAGCAAGGCTTCACAAGAGTTTCTCCAATTATGTGCGCTTTCTGATTTTAGCGATGAGCAATGACAGTTGATAAGATGCTTCTACTACTTTGGCCAACGCTTGATGAAAAGCTCCAGTAGTATCCAGCTTCATGTGTTTCAAATTTTGAAGTTTAGCAGCAAAAAAATCTTTTGGTTTCTCTGTCAAAGAGCTGTGGTTCTTTATCAAGTGTCGCTCAAGATGATAAGGTCTCGAGTCATTGCTAAGAACTATGTGGCATACTACGCATTAAGGATGATCAATCCTGTTTTTTCCTATGACAGTGAAGCCATACTTAATGTAATCTTCATCATACTTTTTTCTTAAATGCAGCCAAACTATATTAAATTTAAAAAAATCTATAAAAATAATTTTCCCTGCAAGTGTGCTAGAAAGTTTGAAAAAGTTCCATTGCCTTCTACATCATTCTTTGGCCTCCCCACCAACCAAACCGGCACACCTACAAGTGAAAAGGCAAAATATCTATCTATCTATCTATCTATCTATCTATCTATCTATCTATCTATCTATCACATTTCATGGTCTGAAATTTGAAAATTATTTTTTTTACGGTAGTGTCGCCAATCTTTTTACCCTCAAGATCACTTTTTAAATGTCAGGGCAAGCCCCAAGATCCTACCCCTTTCTAGAGGCCCCACCCTCTCCGTTTCCCTCTTCTCCATCATTTGCTGTCCCCAGCCCTTACGCACACTCGCTGGGTTGAGATAGGATGTGCGGGCTCTGGGGTGGGAATGAGGATTTGGGTGTGAGAAGGGGTGAAAGGTGCAAGCTCTGGGAGGGAATTTGGGTACAGGAAGAGGTGGAGAAGAGGCTTCTGGCTCAGGGAGGGGGCTCCAGGCTGAATGTGTGTGGCTTGTTCACTGGGCTGCTTCCTGACTTTGAGCTAGCAGCTGTTTGTAATTCTGCTCCCATTCCAGCCTTTATTCAATGATTATTCTAGAAGAGTGTTGGGGTCAGGTGGAGTGTTGGGGTGCTGAGCAAACCACAGGCTTTGAGAGTGCAGGAGTTCAGGTTGGGATGTATGAGGGGCTCAGGGCACGGGGGTTGGGAGCATGATGGGCTCAGGACACAGATTTGCAGTGTGTGGATTGTGCAGTAGTGTTGTGGCAGAAGACTGGGGATGTGAGAGGCTCAGGATAGAGAGTTCCCGTGTATGATAGGCTCAGGGTTGGGATGTGTGTGGGGATTACGGGGTATTATGATGCTGCAGCCAGATGGGGGCTTGGCCCCAACTGGGAGCTTGTTGGACAAGCTTCATTGATTGTGGCCTTATGGGCGAGGCTTCATTTTTAAATAATATATTTCTAGCACAAATGTTTCAGCATTGTCTTTATTTATGGGAAGAACGGGGAAACTGTTTTGGGTCAGGGGTCACTGATCCCCAGAAAAATCAGTCAGGGAACACACAAGTGAGATGCAAACTCCCCCCCAAAAAACCCTCCTAGCCTCCCTAAACCCCACTGATGTGGCTGCAACTGAGATACCTCCCTCCCCTAGTATCCCAACCCCATGCGGGGAGGGTAGATAGGACTGAGGTTCAAAGCTTCAGGCCAGATTAATTCTTCTGGGGTTTGTCAGCTAGTGGAATTTGTGGGCCCTCTACACTCTGAGATGGGGACAAAAAAAAGGGATCCAATGTGCGGGACAGGGCTGCCAGTCAGTGAGATAGGGATGGGGTGCAGAATCTGGGTGGAAAATAGGCTACAGGGGCAAACTGGGGATAGGTGTCTGGCCAGGAGGTAGGGGACAGGAGCAAGGTCCTGATGGGGCCCTGAGCAGGGGACTGGAGGCAGGTGGGGCCCTGGGCAATGTACTCATGGGGGTCTCGGCAGGGGGAGCAGGGTACTTGTGGGGGTCTGGGCGGGGGGGC